GGTTCAGCAAGATGGTGATCTTGATTCCATACAAGAAGACCGTGACGGGAGCGTATGCAGCACAATTATTCTTTGAGCATGTGTGGAAGCACTTTGGGTTGCCGAATTCGATTATTTCGGATCGAGATAGCCAGTTTCTCGAACATTTTTGGGATTCTTTGTGGAGCTTGATAGATACTAGGTTGAAGAAGAACACGACATTCCATCCACAAACAGACGGACAAACAGAAGTGGTTAATCGAACTATGGTGCACATGTTGAGAGGATACAATTCTAGGCATCCCAAGACTTGGGATGAGAGTTTACCATATCTTCAATTTGTGTTTAATCGGGCTATTCATGGATCTTTGGGGAAGTCACCATTTGAGACATGTTATGGGTTTTTACCTCCGAGCCCGTTCGATCTGGTGTTTTCTAGTGAAGCTACGACCGACGGCAAGGAAGGGAATGAAAGACAAGGGGTTCAATGATTTTTAGAGAAGATTGCACATATTCATGCTACGGTGAAAGCATAATTGAAGAAATCACAAGCTAAATATAAGGCGAAACATGATCAACATCGAGTTCCTTGTAATTTTGGTAAAGGTGATATGGTATGGTTGAAGTTGAGTAAGGAATGGCTAAAAGGGAAAAAGTTAAAGCCTATACGATATGATTCATTTTGGATTCTTGATCCAATTGGCGACAACGCTTTCAAGCTGGATTTGCCACCTTACTTAGGCATGTATTCGGTGATCAACGCCGAGTACTTGAAATTATTTGAACCTCCGTTGTTGGATGATGAAGGTGATGACAAGACAATCTTACCGCATGTGGATGAATTGTGGTTTGATAGAGAGGAACTGCTCAAGGAAGATTGCATTTTGGAATGGAAGGTGACTACGACGAGACGCGGGATGAAAGAGTCATTTTTTATCGGATGACAAGGTCAGGTTCCTAGCAAAGCCAGGTGATTCAACAGAGAAGGAGGGGCTCGCGAGTTCCCTCAGCTCTGGTTCTAACTTGAACGGGACTTTAAGTTCCTAAAGAGGGAAGCTATGATATGGGTGTATCTTCTTCCTTGATTCGGGAGCTTAGTAATCCTCATCAGGAGTATGAGGATAGATGATTCTCATGGTATCTTGAGAATAGAGACATGGAAGAAGTCGTCAAAGGCGGCAACGTCGAAGGCTACAAGAAACTCCAGGAAATATGTTTGCACGGCACGGTCGACCGCGAACGTGCACATGAGCTCAGGAGGAGATGGATCCAAAGGCGGTCGACCGTCGCGATCGACCGTGCGTACCCTGTAGGAATTTAAGTCTCTGGAGTTGGTTTCGGTCGACCGCGAAACCTGCACGGTCGACCGTGAGGAGATTCGGTCGACCATCATGGTCGACCGCGCCATGACTGTAACTATTTTACTCCCGGGAAGTTGGTTCAGTCGACCGCGAGTCCGCCGCGGTCGATCGTGATACCTACGCGGTCGACCGTCACAGACAACCGCGTTGTAGTTTTGGGCTTGGGCTTAGTTTCCTATACTGTTTAGAATTTCTATTTGATATAAATAAAAACATGACTTTTTTAGGGTTTATCACTCAGATTGTAATCAGAAAAGAGATCAGAGAGGTTGTTCTTTGATCTAGAGAGATTGTGAGAGAGAGAGAGAGATTTGTAATTCTATTAATTCTCATAATCTAGAGAATGTATTTTCCTTCGCCCAAATCAACTCTTTGTGTGTTCTTCTGTTATTTTATCCACAACCCACTCTTGATAACTCCGTAATCAAGGGTGCTCGTACGGCGACTCGTATCAAGTTGGTATCAGAGCGATTAGATCCTGTAAAGGGGGTATCCTGTGTATGGTCCTGACTCGATCGTAATACAAGAAGCTAGGCTAGATCTTTATTTTATTGAAAGGAGCCCAGAAATTAAGGAAGAAGAAGATGACTAAAGGAGATAGTTCGGCAAGGCTAGATGCATTGGAGAAGCAGATGGAGACAATGGGTTCGACACTCGTGCAACTCGTCAATCTTGTCCAAGACAGAGGAAACAAGGATCGAAAGGCAAGAAGAAACTTGTGGAGTTCGATGGAGAAGGCGTGGATTCTGATGAGGAGGCCTGTATTGTTAAGTCTGTTTCACACCAAAGGGGTAAGGGTTCTTACCAAAATTTGAAGATAGACTTCAAAGTGGAGATTTCTGTTTATGACGGGAGTGTCAACGTCGAGAGGCTTGATGATTGGATCGAGCGGATGGAGACCTATTTCACACTCTACGGATATTCATCCAAGGAGAAGCTAGTGTTCGCGACTCTGAAGCTTTTGGGGTATGCCTTGACATGGTGGAAATCCTATTACAAGCAGGAGAAGAAGACGGTATCGTGGAACAAGTTCAAGGAGCTACTTAGGAAGCAATTCTATCAGGTAGGGTTCCTCGAAGAGCGTTGGTACAAGTGGTATAGGTTATGCCAACGGTTCAATCATACCGTTCAAGAGTATACGATAGAGTTCCAGCAGCAGGCGATGGTCCTCAACATCGCAACAGAGGAATATCCCATTTTTATAAAGTATATAGCGGGTCTGAACGAATTTATCCAAAAGGAGATGAGGCTTTTCACAGTTGAGTCCATTGCAGAGGCGAGTGTGAAGGCTATTGCCATTGAGGGTAGGCAAAAGAAGGGTAACGAAACGAAGGGGGATTCTAAACAAACGGGAGGTAAGTCTAGTGGCTCTCAACCTAAGAAAGAGAAGAAGAAGGGTGACTCGGAGAAGGCAGGATTAACATGCAATCACTACAAATAGACAGGACACGTAGCTGATCGTTGCTGGGAGAAGTATCCTTATCTGAAGCCGAAGGGATTGAAGAAAAAGGAGGAGAAGAAAGCATACATGGTAGCGCAGGGTCCGAAGGAAGTTCTCGGGATGACAGAACCCAGCAGAAATCTCAACCTTATGGCGAGGAAGCAGGCAACGACAAAAGACGAAGACCCGAGAGAACAACTCTTTGTTTTGAAGTTGTAGGTCAAGACCAGCTTGGTTGATGCCATAGTGGATCCAGGGAGCCAAAAGAATTTGATATCCGAGGCCTTGATTCAAAAGCTGAGATTGAAGACGGTTAAACATCCGAAACCCTATCCTTTAGGGTGGATTCAGAAGGAGGCGGTATTGAGTGTGATCAACCAATGTACGTTCAGATTTGCACTCCACGAGTCATATATCGATGTGGTCACATGCGACGTTGTTCTATTAGATGTTTGCTAAGTGATACTCGGTAATCCATATTTATGGGATAGATATGCGGTCTATGATAGGCGGGCCCAGAAGTATACGTTCACCAAGGATGGCGAGCAATTCATTTTTCGTTCAGCGTCTCTTCCTCAGGAGACGGGTTTGATGACGGTGACTCAGGCGAAGAGGCTGGTGAATGCAAGCAAGAAGTTTATATTATTATTCATTAGGCCTTATGAGGAGCAGTTGAATAGGATGTACTTGACTACCTTGAGCAAACTTCTAGAAGGAGATCTTGACAGGTTGAAGGCCAAGTACGAGGACTTGTTTTCGGAGATCACGGGACTATCACCACGGCGGGGTGTGTAGCATGAGATTATGTTGACCGGCGAGAGTTCCTTGCTGAATATAGGTCTATACCGCACATCTATACAGGAGTCTGAGGAGATCAAGAGACAAGTTCAGGAGCTTTTGGAGACAAGAGTGATTGTGCTGAGTTGTTCGCCTTGCGAGTCTCTAGTATTGTGGGTGCCCAAAAAGGATGGAGGTTGGCGCATGTGCGTGGACTACCGGGCACTCAACAAGATAACCATTAAGAATCGCTACCCATTACTACGGATTGACGATCTCATGGATCAGTTGGAGGGAGCAAGGTTCTTCACGAAGTTGGATTTGAAGTCTGGTTACCATCAGGTGAGGATTCAGGAGGATGACACTTGGAAGACTGTGTTCAAGACCAAGCATGGCCTATTCAAGTGGTTGGTGATGCCGTTTGGTTTATGCAATGCTCCGGCTACCTTTATGAGGCTTATGAATGATTTGTTGCGACCCTTTTATAAAGGACTTTGTGATAGTTTACCTCGATGACATCTTGTTGTACAGCAAGACCTGGGAGGAGCATCTTATTCATGTTGAAAAAGTGTTTGAAGTGTTGCAGAACGGACAGCTGAAGCTCAATGGGAAGAAATGCGAGTTTGGGAAGGACGAGTTGGTGTATCTCGGCTTCATCGTGGGGAAGGGCCAGCGAAGAATAGATCCCAGTAAGGTGGCGGTGATCACAAAGTGGCCGACACCTAGGATAGTGACGGAGGTGAGAAGCTTCATGGAAGCTTGCCAGTACTTGCGCAAGTTCATTCGACATTTTTTGACTTATGCGGCACATTTGCATGGCCTTACGAAGGCGAAGATTTAGTTCGTGTGGGGTAGAACGCATGAGGAGGCTTTTTAGCTACTGAAGAAGAAGATCTCGGAGGCACCGGTGTTAGTTTTACCAAATTTGCAGAGGACCTTCGAGGTGGAGACCGACGCTTCTAGTTATGCTATGGGCGCTGTGTTGATTCAGGATGGTAAGCCGATGGAGTACCATTCAGAGATGGTTACGAGTGTTATTCAAAATTACCCCACCTACGACAAGGAGTTTTATGCACTTTATCAAGCGATCAAGCATTAGCGGGTGTATTTGTTAGGTAAGGAGGTGGTTATGTACTCAGATCACAAACCATTAGAATTTTTACATGCCCAGACGAAGCTGCAGCAAGCACGATACATGAAGTGGATGTCCTATTTGATGGTGTTCAATATCATTATTAGGTACAAGAAAGGGATGACGAATAAGTTAGCCGATATGTTATCTCGTCCACCAGTGAGGGCACTTTTGGTGGTGACGCGCATTCAGTCCTTGGTTCCTTTAGAGTATGTACAGATGTACACATCCAGCAGAGATTTCAGCAGTGTGTTTGAGCGGACGACGACTGGTCGAAAGGGAGAGTATGAGATTGGTGAGGATGGTTTGTTGTATCGCGGAACGTCGCTTTGCATTCCGGAGGATGGCGACCGATTACAGTGGATTCGAGAAGCACATACATCACATGTGTAAAGTCATTTTGGGATTCAAAAGATGCTTCTTAATCTACGGCATCATGTCTTTTGGCCAAAGATGTTGGAGGATGTCACTAAGTATATTGGAGGTTGTAAGTTATGTTGTATTTCGAAGCCTTCCAATAGGAAACGGGGATTGTATCTACCATTGTCGGTACCTTCGAGACCATGGGAGAGTATTTCTATGGATTTCTTAGGAGGGTTACCGACGACCAAGCGAGGACATGACTACTTGTTCGTTGTGGTGGACCGGCAAGATGGTGATCTTGATTCCATGCAAGAAGATCGTGACGGGAGTGGGTGCAGCGCAATTGTTCTTTGAGCATGTGTAGAAGTACTTTGGGTTGCCGAATTCGATTATTTCGGATCGAGATAGCCGATTTCTCACACATTTTTGGGATTCTTTGCGGAGCTTGATGGATACTAGGTTGAAGAAGAACACGGCATTCCATCCACAAACAGACGGACAAACAGAAGTGGTTAATCGAACTATGGTGTACATGTTGAGAGGATACAATTCTAGGCATCCCAAGACTTGGGATGAGAGTTTACCATATCTTCAGTTTGCGTTTAATCGGGCTATTCATGGATCTTCGGGAAGTCACCATTTGAGACATGTTATGGGTTTTTACCTCCGCGCCCGTTCAATCTCGTGTTTTCTAGTGAAAATACGACCGACGACAAGGAAGGAACGAAAGACAAGGGGTTCAACGATTTTTAGAGAAGATTGCACATATTCATGCCACGGTGAAAGCACAATTGAAGAAATCACAAGCTAAATACAAAGCGAAACATAATCAACATCGAGTTCCTTGTAATTTTGGTAAAGGTGATATGGTATGGTTGAAGTTGAGTAAGAAACGGCTAAAAGGAGAAGGGAAAAGTTGAAGCCTATACGATATGGTTCGTTTCAGATTCTTGATCCAATTGGCGACAACGCTTTCAAGCTGGATTTGCCACCTTACTTAGGCATGTATTCGGTGATCAACGCCGAGTACTTGAAATTGTTTGAACATCCGTTGTTGGATGATGAAGGTGATGACAAGACGATCTTACCGCATGTGGATGAATTGTTGTTTGATAGAGAGGAACTGCTCAAGGAAGATTGCATTTTGGAACGAAAGGTGACTACGACGAGATGCGGGACGAAAGAGTCGTTTTTTATCAGACGCCAAGGTCAGGTTCCTAGCAAAGTCAGGTGGTTCAACAGAGAAGGGGATCGTGAGTTCCCTCAGCTCCAGTTCTAACTTGAACAGGACTTCAAATTCCTAAAGAGGGAAGCCATGATATGGGTGTATCTTCTTCCTTGCTTCGGGAGCTTAGTGATCTTCATCAGGAGTGTGAGGATAGATGATTCTCATGGTATCTTGAGAATAGAGACGTGGAAGAAGTTGTCAGAGGCGGCAGCGTCGAAGGCTGCATGAAACTCCAGGAAATGCGTTTGGACGGCCTGCGGTCGACCGCGAGTCAGCCATGATCGACCACAAACATGCATAGGAGCTCAGGAGGAGCTGGATCCGAAGGCGGTCGACCGCCGCGGTCGACCGCGCGTACCCTGTAGGAATTTAAGTCTCTGGAGTTAGTTTTGGTCGACTGCGAAACCTGCACGGTCGACCGTGAGGAGATTCGGTCGACCGCGCCATGACTGTAACTATTTTACTCTCGGAAAGTTGGTTCGGTCGACCACGAGTCAAGCCACGGTCGACCGCCACGGTCGACCGCGACGTAGTTTTTGGACCTGAGCTTAGTCTCCTGCAGGTTTATCACCCAGATTGTAATCAGAAAAGATATCAGAGAGGTTGTTCTTTGATCTAGAGAGATTGTGAGAGAGAGAGATTTGTAATCTATTAATTCTCATAATCTAGAGAATGTATTTTCCTTCGCCCAAATCAACTCTTTGTGTGTTCTTCTGTTATTTTCTTCACAACCCACTCTTGATAATTCCGCAATCAAGGTTGCTCGCACGGCGACTCGTATCACCCCCACTCACAAATGTTTCTTTCCTGATGCGCATTATGTCTACATCATAATAGAAATCTTCTAGATACGTACATTCGATGCATAATTACTCATCTTAACCCTATTTTTTTCGCCTTCTGAGATTCCTTCAACAGCTTCTTCGGCGAAAATAGACTTTCCTTGTAAATAGCAAAAACTCCAGAATAGTAGAATCTAAAGAGAATATCACCATCTGCAATTTCTTTGACATGATGAGTCCCGTACAAACTTGAACAACTGTTGCTATGGAATTTATACTCTTTGACCCATGTCTTGTTCAAATAATCTTTCGTTGTCCATATCTCAAAGTATTTTTGGTCTGAACTTATGTATACCAGTCAAAGCTTCTCTCTTGACTCCTTCAAATCAAATTCACAACACAAACACATATCAAAGGATGAGGGATAGGGGAGAGATATTGGTGATTCAAATTTCTCATCTTTGATATTGAACCTATAAATACTTGTCGTTCGTTGAATCCAAAATCTAAATATCCAATCCAGTGAAGAGCTCAATGAAAGAACTGAATTAGAATTGTTGAATAATTCAAAAAGTGCTTCACCAAGGCATCTCCATTGCATTGTGACCACATTACAGATCTCACATTTAACACACAGGTTTCCGGAACAAGTAAACAATCTAACTATCTTGCAGTGCCCCATAGTCATGACGATACCGAGACTAATAGTTTCATTTATAAATCTTTCTTGACGACCATTATCTTCCTAAGTTTCTGAAGTTCCTGAGTCATGGGATTTAATAAGTTTATATCAGATTTAGCAGTATAGCCATAAGCACAAGTCAAACCATCCACAAAATTTGATAACCTAGAATATAACCTCCCAGGGCTAAATTTGCAGTAAATTTTCATAGAATATTTTTCATCTCCTACTGTATTGGAATCATGCAACCAGATTTTTCCATTACGAACATTTTTTTTTCTAGCAATCATGTAGCTTGAAGATCTCATATATTGTGATTTCAAGAAACCAGGACGATCGATGAGTTCAGGAAAGCCATTGCTTGCAGACGCAAAGGTATTTTGCAACAGAGTTTGCAGGTAGCCTTGAGAGAATGTCACACAAAATGTCAAGTGGTAAGCAAAACCCAGAGCTTGAGGCCGAAGATGGAGGTTTTGTTTCAGGCTGAACACGAATATTTTAACTTTAGGCTATAATTATCAGAATCAGTTAATTAGTAAGAGAAAACGATAAATTAATAAGTGATAATTGATCTTTGCTTAAAATACATTTGTACTAATAACTAAGGGAACTGATAACTTTGCCTAGAATAAATAAGAAGACAGGTTGCCAGCTCAGAGAGATAATTACGTTATCTTGTATTTTTACCTTTAAAACTTTGATTAGTTTTGAGAGGAAAATTTTTAGTTAAAAGTTTTAGCCAGGGAACACATATTCAATGTTAAGATTTTAATTGTTTTCTTTTAATTTGTATTAAGTTGATTAATGAAAAACCAGTCAATTCTTGAGAATTTGATTATTTTAGTACAAGATTTCAAATTTATTATCTAATAGTTGGATCCAGATCATCTCCACCTAGCCTATTAAGGGGTAATTGGAGAGAATCCAATATCCAAATCATTATCTCTATCTCAATTTCAATGGATGAGATCATGCCAATAAGAATTTCATTATCATAAATAATGGTTTTGAATGTAGTCATTGCAAGTTTACTAGTAGTTTTTAATATGAGAGTGATTTTCAAGATAACAATAAAAACCTTATATGACATATGATCTCATCCATTTGAAGTAAAATAGACGATAAGAATTGAGATAATCAAATTCTCTCCGATCATTATCTAATTAGAGAGGATCCAAGCCCCTAATGCCTTGTTTGGTATCTGGGAATGAGTGGGAATGAAATGCAATTCCTACTTCTCATTCATGCTTACCAAACATGATGTGCTTTTAGATGTTAGAAATATCATTCCTACTTCTCATCAACTTCTACTTAATTGAGAATTATTATTCCTAACGAGTTATTAAGTAATTGATATTCCCGCTTAAGTAAGAATGAGAATGATAAAATAAATTCCGGATATACCATTCTTAAATATATTCCAACTTAATTCTCTAATCGCACCAAAGCATGAGAATTCTACTCCCACATCAATTCCATTTGACTCCTACCTTCTGTCGGTCCCTCCTATTGGACCGATTGGATCAGGAATCGACTCTTGGAGGGACTCTTTACCACTCCTGCCTCGTAGGAGGGCCTCTAGCCCACTCTGGTGCCGTCACTGCCGCTGGTGCTGCTACTGGAGTTGACTAGGCAAGTGGCGTTGCTGGTGTTGTTGAAGTCGTGGTTGTAGAAGTCTCTGCAGCCCTGACTGACGCCTTATAAGCTCGGGCATCCTCCATGTCCATATACCCGTGAGCCTTGGTCATCAATTGCTCATAATTGGCGACTGACTTCTTGGCAAGCGAGTCGGCAAACTCATTGCTCTACAAGTCGGCCACGAGAGCAGACATGGCAACTGCACTCCTAGGGTCGTTGACCTCCAACCTCTTTGTCTGGAACCTATTAAAGTAGGTTCGAAGGCTCTCTCTCCAGGTGCCTGTCTCATCTGAATTAACACATGAGGGGTCAGCTTCTGCCTGGTGTCAGCCAAAAAGTGGTGGATGAACTTCCTTCTGAGTTGTTGGAAGCTGCTGATGGACTTCTTCTGAAGAGTGTTCCACGAGAGCTTCGCACTCCGTGAAAGAGTGATTGAGAAGCATCAACAGATGACTACTTCTAATGCTTGGAGCATGCTCATCACATCATAGTAATTCTAAACATGCTCGGAGGGGTCTCCCTTGCTTTTATACTTCTCTACGTGAGACATCTTGAACTTCTCACATGGGACATTCATGAGGTTGTCGAAGAGGGGTGTTCTCCCCGATGGCTTCTGCGACCAGTTTGTACACCCGATCGTTGTCAGAGATCCCTATGATAGCTGAGGGGGTTGGAGAGATATGGTGATGGAGGAGAGTCTTAGAGACCACTCTCCTAGTGCGGTCCCCAAGGTGACCAGGCCAAGACTCTCGTCGGTGATTTCTTGATGAGAGAGAAGACATCAGTGAGGCTCTCCGGGGTGAGTCGACCGACGAGATGGCGACGTCCGTACTCAACACGATCCCCTAGCTGCTTGGCAACAGCATGAGGAGTCCAAGACGGGACTACTTGTTGTGCCCCAGAGTGGAAAGGAGTCTTCAATCTCTGGTCTCCAGAAGGTGGGGGAAGAGTTGAAGTAGCTCGCTACGCCTGCGGAAGCCGGTTGAGAAGTTAGCTAGTGAAGGCAGCGAATTATTCTTGGAGAGATTAAGAAATCTGCTGAGTCGTTTCTTCAAGCTAAGCACAAGTCACATAGCTCTGGTGTGGTTCTACGGGGTGAGACAGATCAACTCTATCCACTGAACTAGACATGTTTTCTAAAAAAAAAAAAATGCCCCACAATGGGTGTCAATGAACTAAGTTGTGCGCAGAGTACCCTATGGTTGAGAAGAAGGAGAATTCAATAATACTTTTATAATTAAAATAAGCAGGCCTCTTAGAAGAGGCAAGGCTTTTTATTTTAAGTTGAAAGAAGCAAATTAAAAAAAAGGTGGATAAAAAGAATTGCACCTTATGTCTTCAAGTAGCATATTCATATCTCGTTAAGGTCTAATAATCAGTTCGTCAATTAAACTACTTTGTACGTTGAACTAAACAGGGTCACAGTATTATCTAAACAAAGCTTATTACAGCAATTAATCATTAAAATTTTAGTTTACCTGATAATCTCACATTTAAGTCTATGAACATAGGCAGAGAACAAATCATTAAACAAGAGGTTAATCTACAAAACGTTAAACAAATCTCAAAAGATCACATAATAACTCTGGAAAAAGAAGTGATCCATCAAGCACACACGTACGAGTGCCAGATTTCTTGCACATAAAGCCAAGAAGATGGAAATTATGACTTACAAAACTAGCAACGGAAGATACACTTATCAAATGAACGGCTACACAGACTTCTCCATACTTGAGTTACAAACTTCTTGAACAGTGCACAATGTGAACTAGAAAAGAGCTCTTTAAACTGCGCAGTTCTATAGGCA